TGCCAAGGTATACCAGCTACTTCCATGTCATAAAGGCTTAGTCATGTCTCTTGACCAAGCAATGAGCTGGTGCCCTGACAGAGGTAGGGGATAGAGTAAAGAGTGACTATAGAGTAAAGCAGTAGTATTAGATGTATGATAGTGGTCACCCACCTTGAACAGGTGAGAGTTAAGAGTAAGTGTGAGAGAGAAGTCCAACCATCCCTATCCAAAGTACCCAAAACCTCCTATATATGTTTGGAGAGGTTTGGCCCTTCGGACTACTACTAATCTATACCTACTCTATATTACCCAATGCTATGTCTAGGGTCCACTTCCTGCTTCCAATAGTCTGGTCCAGCTGGGTTTGACATGTCATTTGAAGAGGTGTTCAAAGGTCAGATCTGAGCTCAAAATTCAGATGTGCAGCACATTGGGAGGTAGTTGGAATGATGGGAAGGGGAAGGAGAATGCAATGTGATGGGTTGTGCCTTCATGGGGAGGTAGAAGAAAAGATAGGCATGAGATGGTGTCAATTGACCAAAGGATAGTTGACTGGTTTGGAATGGTGAATGAGTTGTGTCTCAGAATTGTGATGTTTGTGTGGTGAATTCAGCAGTGCACTAATCCTGAAAGTACATTGGATTTTGAAATGGAGGTGTTATTAAGACTTTTCAAAAATGGGTGGGGAGACCCTTGTGGGTCTCCCCTTGGGTCAGATGGTATGGCGAAGCTGTCCGCTCAGAGGGAGGCAGTCCCTTGTGCGCAGTGATGACTTGGGAGGAGTCATACAAAACCTTCCCCAGCGACGGAAGCACAGAAGTTAAGCCGTGATTTGTCATGGGTAATGAGTCAACGGATACTAGAACGAAGAATAAGACGGGCCGTTCGATGTTAGTCATCTTGCGCCGCCACTTCCCGGCTGTAGGGACGCGCGGCTGATTCGGAAAGTGACGGGGGCTGGGTGAGACATAATATTACCTCATCACTTTAACTTATCCTTACTCTGCACGGCTCTTTTCCTCCTCCTCCTCGAGCAAGGGAGACGTGGAAGGTACTGACAAGGACGACGACGACCATGGATAATAGTCAACTGCCCTGGATGTCATTTGACACTTCATTGTTTCCCTTAACTCAACAGCAACAACAACCTCAGCAACTGCAGCAACAACCTCAACAACAGCAACAGCAATCTCAGCAATCTTCAGTCGAAGAACAGCGCGTCCGTCTAGAACTAGCAAGGGAGACCATCAAATTACGCGAGCTTGAACTCCAAATCGCAGCAGAGAAGCGAAAGGAAAGGGAAGCAGAGCTCGCCCTTGCACATCTACAAAATGGGAGCAGCCAGGGGACCTCGAGCAATGGACCTTCACCGCAGAATCAGAACGGGAACGGGAGCGGGCAGAGTACCTCGCCTGCTGCACCTCTACCACCGCAACAAGAGTTCTTTAACCCAGGCATGTCGTTCCCACAAGCGCACACAGCTACTTCAAACTTCGACTTCAACCCCTTCCCGCTCGATTTCCTCCCTCAGATACAAGGTCAATGGCTCCCCCCTCCTCCCCAACCGCAGCAAGGCGCTCCCAGTCCTCCCCAGCCTGTACCTGGAGTAGGAAGCAACGGCATGTCTCTCTCCTCCCTGAACATGGGCCTGGCGGACCCGTCCTTCCCGCTCGGAGTGGACGACGCAGCGTTCGACGATATCCTTGCTGAGCTTCTGCAAAATGAGCCTTCTTACGTTCCTCCCCCTGTTCAGACTCCTGAACCCGGCCAGCCCAGTCCGGAAGAAGTCGACGGAAGCCCTGAGCAAGGCATGAGCGGGAGCAGGGAATCCCCCCGGGCTCTCCCAGACGAGCACCGTGCTGCTACCGCATCCAACGGACCCGTCGCAGCCGGAGGAATACCAGGCTTAGGGCAGATACACAATGGTGCCCCAGCGTCCATCTTCGACCAGACCAAGGCGCTCGTCTCGCGTATAGCAGCACAAGGCGGGTTCGACAAGTCCGCCCTCGCCTCTCTCTCCCCCTCTGGATCGATTTCCCGCTCCGGCTCGGGCAGCGCTGGCCAGTCACCTGAAACCACGCTGGCCGCTTCCTCTGCTTCCTCGGTTTCCCAAGCCCAACCGACGATGCTCCCTACCACGAAGCGCAGTAAGAAGTTGCTCCTGGAGCAGCTGGCTTGCTGTGCCCAGTGCGGGGCTGGGATAGCGAAGCTCCTTCTGAGAGGGACGAAACAGGAACTAGACGATCCATTTGATATGCACTATCTGTGCTCTGCCTGCGCCCCAGTCGTGCCGGCACAACAAGGTGTTCGGAAGCGGGTCAAGCAAACCGAGGACTGTACGCTCCCGACAGTGTGCGACGTCTGTCTCCGCACGCGCGGGCGAGGAGGGATCGTTCCCCGCCGCGAGGGCACTGTGCTTCAGTTTGCTGTCGAGGTGGTATGTCTGCCCTGTACGGAGAAGTATAAACGGTGCTCGGATTGTGGAGGCGGGAGCGGGAGGCTGGGAGTGGGGAAATGGAGATGTAAGGAGCTTTTCGACGAGGGGAGGAAGACGTGTAACCTCAGTCATGCGAGGTATGTCTTCCATCTTGAACTAGTCCGAAGTGATGCTAATCTGCCTAGACTCGGAACAGGAGAGCTGGAGCTAGCCGTCTGGGAGGTACCGGACGACGTGGACCAAGAACTGCAGATCGAGACTGTGCTGAACGCGTGCGAGAACCTGTGGAAAGAGAACGTTCTCAGGATGGCGGTGCCCGAGATACTGGACAGCGATGCGGACAGTGCGATGGGGCTCAAGACGTATCAGGATATTCAGGAGAAGATCTTGCAGCATGGGTGGCCGGCGAGGGATTTCGTCATGAAGGATGAGACGTACTCGGGGCAGAGGAAGTACTTGGCGCTCACCTGGGCGAAGAATAGGCGCGTGTTTGAACTTGGTATGTTGACAAGAGAGAATGCTCATCATGCGGGTAGGCCACGGCGAGGGAAGACGACGACTATTGGGGAAAGGACGGGGAAAGTGGTCAAGGATGAAGATTGGCTGTTTGCCAATATCAGGCGGACAAGGATCTTTGCTCCTGCTGGGTCGATGCTTGTGGGCATCTGGCTCAGTCATTGGGATATGAACCGTAGGCCAGCCTTTAGCCTGAGTAGGGATATGCTTAAGTACTGCAGGTCGGACGATCCATATCTCCACCACGTCCCCTTTCGACCCCGGAGACCTCGAAGACCGTTCTGTGGTGGCCATCGCCGAGACGCTCAACCGGATCATCACCACCGGGTCGAACGACGCTGCTGCCATTCTCCCTCCCGCGCACGTCTGGGTGACATACAACGAGCTCTCCCCCGTGATTGAGCAGCGCATGGAAGACGCGCTTATCAAAAAGAAGGGATTCTTTCCCCTGGACGAGTATGTGCAGCGGTTCCCTGACGTGAAGCGCGATGACTTTATCGAGCCTAAATACACGCGTGTTGTCAAGCCCTCTGGGTGGAAGCAGGGCGACCCAGGGATCGACACCCCCGTGCATATACTCGTTAAGACCCTGGGGAAGAGCATGAACTGGTACAGGTTGCAGAAGCTCAAGATGCAGGAGGTGAGTTCACTCCGCCTCCGGGTGCGCTCCAACCCCGGCTGTCCGCTCGGTATGTGAATTACGCTAAAGTGTCTCCCGCCCCCGCGCGAACAGATGCACGAGAAACGCGTCATGAGCCAGCTTGTGAGGAAGAGGAAGGCGTTGGAGGACGAGGAGTCGAGGGGTCGGGATCACTAGTCTTTATTTTCGTTGTTGCGGACTGGAGAGGATGTTGTTTTATCTGCTTTGAATGGCTCGGCGAGGTTGGGGATGTATACGTTCCAGATTCGGTTCCGTTTTTCTTTCTTTTTGACTTGTCGAGAAATGATGCGAGCCAAGGTCGCCTACTGTATCAGATTGTAAACTAAATGGCAGAAATGATACCATTTGCAGATTGATAGAAATGATCCTCGTCTTTGTGCATTCTTCTCACCGAATTTTGACACTTTTCCAATGACTGCTGTAGTCACGAACAAATCTACATCTTCCGATTCCAACCATCATGGTCTCTTGTGACCAGGGATTCGAACGGCCTTCCTCTCTTGATTCCGTCCTTTCCGCGCAATCTTTGTACCCTGTCGACTATCTTCTTATCCTGGCTCATTCTCCCCCAGACTCCCGGATGCAGATAGATGAAAGGACAATAGCGATCCAGTTGAATTCGAAAGATAGAAGAGAGATAGACGGCGGTGGGGCCGACTCATGACTGTATTGAAATCATCGTCAAAGGGAGGGTCCTCGCGTCTTATTGGCCAACTGACTGACTGACGTTTATCCGACGATGGGAGTCTGACGACTTGCGGAGTATGGGCTTCTCATGACTAGCATGCTCCTACAAAGGTTATTGCAGGCGAGAATGATAAGAAGCACTTGGGCAGAAAGGTCTGGATACAGCCTCGAGCAGCACGAGTTCGTGTCCTGCTGCTTCTCTATTTCGGACCAGCTGTGCACTTCTCAATCTGTGGATCTGGTCTGCGAGAATGGCTGACTACGAGAAGAAGGGGGGCGAACATCACATAAATGTTGGACACGCACTCCAGAGCGTCACCTCCCTTCGCAGCGCAAGAGAGGAGGCGGACGATGGAACGGCGTACCTGGAGCAGGACGTGTTTGGTGATGAAGAGGGCGCACAGGTGCGATATGCCCTGCGACTCGTCTTGACTTTCACCTCCTCATCCTGATTGCAGATCAAATACCGCACTCTGTCATGGCAGTTCGTGTCCTTCTTCATGATTGCGGAGATCGTCTCGAACGGGATGCTGTCTCTCCCCTCCTCCCTCGCTGTCGTTGGCATCGTCCCTGGAGTCATTCTCGTGGTGTTCCTCGGCATCTTCGCCACGTACACTGCCGTCCTCCTCATTGACTTCAAGCTCAATCACCCAGAGATCCACAATATGGGAGACGCGGGGATGATCATGTTTGGCCCAATCGGGCGGGAGATTCTCAGCTTCGGCACGATCGTATTCGCCATCTGTGCGGCGGGTTCCGAGCTCTTGTCGGGCCAGCAGGCACTTACTGTGCTCTCCAACCAGGGACTTTGTGCCGTCGATCTTGTCATCATCTTCACGGCCGCATCGTTCCTTCTTGCCCTGCCTAGGACACTCGACCGGCTGAGTTGGCTCGGTCTGGCCAGTTTCATTACCATTTTCATTGCTGGAGTGGTTGCCATGATCGGGGCCGGCCAGAGCGCTGTACCCGGTCGTGAGATTGACGCTGTCATCAGTGGGGATTTTTATAGCAGCTTTCTGTCTATCACCAACCCGGTCTTTGCATATGTAAGCCCGTGTCCTATTCTCAGTTGAGTTGTGCTCACTTTTTTGTGCAGGCCGGACATTTCATGTTGTAAGTGATTGTTGCAATCGCTGCCTTACCCACGCTCATAATGTGCAGCTTCCCTCTTGTGTCTGAAATGCACACACCTCGTGATGCGTACAAGTCTGCATACTTCCTGCAAGGCTTCGCCACGACTTGTGAGCCCGCCGTTTACCTCTCTTAAACAAGGCTCATCCACTCACAGTCTACGCTATCTTTGCCGTCGTCTGCTACTGCTACATCGGGAACACCGTCGCCTCCCCCGTCCTTTTCTCCCTGAACGAAGTTTGGTCCAAGGCATCCTTCGGCATCGGTCTTGCCAACTTTCTCGTCGCCGCCGGCCTGTACTCGCACACGGCTGCCAAGTTGCTCTTCATCCGCTTCTTCCGCGGTACCCGCCATTTGCATGAGCACACCACTTGGGGCTGGGTATGCTGGGTCGTTCTCGTCCTGTTGGCCAACGTCATCGCCTGCATATTCTCCATCGCCGTGCCCGTGTTCTCATATATTATCGGTATCACCGCAGCTTTGTTCGCGAGTTGGTACACTTATGGTATCGCTGGCTTCTTCTGGCTGTTCGATACTTACCATCAGGGCGGTGGGAGACATGCGTGGTACAAACAGCCAATTCGCTTTGCCATTGCGATCTTCACCATCCTGGCTGGTGCATTCATCTGCGTAGCTGGCATTTACGTATCTATCAAGGTGGGCATCTAACACGCGAGAAATAGCAGAGCTGACATCTGCACAGCTGATCGTCGTTTCATATCAAGAGGGTGTCATCGGTGCTCCGTTCACCTGCTAGTCGAGATACTTTATGCTGTATTTGTGGAAGCAATGATAGATTATTGCTAATGATACTGTGCTCAACTCTAGACGGTTGAGTTGTGATATTGCGATGAAGAAAACATTAACCGAAACACCTGTTAAATAGACAGCAAACAATTGTGTTTGAATACCAAAGAAAACATTACACTAGCAAGAGGGATACCCTCCATTGCTCGCAATTACACCAGCCGCATCTTCACGCCTTCATCCCCCTACGTCTCCGTATCATCACCCCATCTCCTGTTTCCCCGACTGCCCCTGCTCGACCCAGCAATACTCGAGGAAGCGCTCGGCAAGCGCAGACTCTGCCCCGTAAAACCGAGGAAGGACCGGGCCCTAGGAGCAGGGGTAGGAGTAGACAGCTCCCAAGGATCCATGTCCCGCGCTTCATCCGCAGCATGCTCAGACCCAGGCTCCATCGCACGCGTGGAGATATGCGCAGGAGCTTTCAGGTGCCGCACTGGCTCATGCCGGATGTCGATGTCCTCTTCGACGTCCAGCTCGTCTTCGGCGTCACCGTAGGACTGGGACATGATTTCGTCCTCATCTTGTTGCCGGATAACCCTGCGTACATGCTCGGCCGGGGGATACGGGCTCTGCCCAGCCTTCACACTGCGCGAAGCTTGACCGTCGTCTTCCCCCTCATACGAGGCCTCGTGCTCCGCCTCCTCATCGTCGGCAGTATCGCTGTCCTCGCTCACCTCACTTGCGTCATCATACAGGGCATCATCGTCGATCAGCAGACCGTCCGCGTCCGTCTCTCCACCCCACTCAAACACGTCCAAGTACGTCTCATCGCCTCTGTTGCTAGCGCTGACGACCCTCCGGCCCCAGCCAGCGACCTGCCACACTCCGCCAACTTCTGTCAAGAGGTCGCGCCTCCACTCACCCTTGTCCGCATCCCACATTTTTAGGCTGCCCTCACTCCCGCTCAGCACACGGAACTCGTCGTGCAGGAAGCAAGTGATGGCAGCCGGGTGGCCGGTGAGGGTGTGGAGCAAGTCCCCTGATGTTGGCGACCAGACGCGGAGTGTAGAGTCAGCGGCGGCGGAGATGAGCTGGTTAGGACGGATAGAGAGCAACCCGACAAGGGACGTGTGCCCCGTGAGGGCGTGCAGACACTGGCCCGTTTCGAGGCACCAGATGCGCACCGTACCGTCCATTGAGCCGGAGGCACATCGTTCACGTATAGGGTCGAGCGCGACGCTGTACACTGCGCGCATATACGCGTCAGCATATATCCACCGGGTGCAACGATGGAAGACTCACCTTTCTGCGCATGCCCAGAGAGCACAAACCTGCACTCTCCAGTTGACATGTCCCAGACGCGCACGGTACAGTCGTAGCTGCCGGAGACGAGCGTCTTCCCTCTCGCAGCAAGGGCGCGCACGGCACTCGTGTGCCCAGCGAACAAACGTACGTGGTAAGGGTTCCGTTGGGGTTCATCCTGCAAGAAGGTCAGCATATATGCGCCGGTTTACGAAGTGGCAAGAAGACCCACCCGATCGGTATCCCCTTCACCCGTTCCCGGGCTTTTGTATTCCGCATCCCCCTCCCTAGGGAGATACCACAGTCTGAGCGAGTTATCCCTGCTCCCAGTGATGATCATCCTCCTCCTTGGCCAGGTGCCATTATCCCCCTTCTCGACAATCTGCAGGCAGCGGACCGTGCTCGTATGCCCGGCAAATACATGCGTGTTAGTTCCTGTTCTCAGGTCCCAGACGCGTACTGTACGGTCTGTGGAGCCGGAAACAAGCGTATTATGCACGAATTGGAGTGCCCAGACACCGCCCGAGTGGCCCTGAAGGGACTGGAGCAGCGCACCGTCGATCGGGGAATGGACGTGGATCGTGTGGTCGTCTGATGCGGAGACGATGCGAGTTGCAGAGATTTGGAGACAGGTGACGACAGTCTGTGTCAGGAGGGGGATCGTCATCTGCGAGGGGCACTGGGTGAGCGCTTGTTGCAGGCGCAAGCGGTAGCGAAGGAGGGTTTTGTATGGGTTGGGAGGGCGCAGAGTGGGTAGGTAGTTCGCCGGCGGGCGGAGATGGGCACTGAGCCGCATCGATGGTGGCAGGGAGGCACGCGAAGGCGATTCAAACCAGAGTTTGTAGTGCTTGAGAATACTGCGCCAGAGGGGGGCCTCGCCGTCGATGAGGTCGCGCCAGTTGCGGCATACACGGCAGCAGCGGAGAAGGGAGCGAAGGTCGAGACACTGGAGGATCTGGAGGGACAGCTCAGTGGGGAGGAGGGAGAGGAAGTCGCGCGACAAAGCGGGGGTGACGAATCCGTCCGTAGCGCGCAGGACGGACAACGGGGAGAGCTTGAGCAAGGAGAGGAGGACGTGTGTCTGGAGCGCGGCTGGGAGCTGGCTGTACTGCGTCAGCAGCATGGGAAGGGACATTAGAGTCTGAAGCGGGAGGATCGGCAGCTCAGGCGGACTGTTCGAGTACGTCGTCGTGACTGTTGAGCTCTCTGCTTGGGCGGGCTCGCTGATGCTCGGAGGGGGAGAGTTGCTCGGCGAGGGAAGTGGGTGCAGCCCTGGTCCGCTCGTGCTCCCATGTGTCTGGAGATGCAGCGCGCGCGCCTTCTTCCTCGGCGGGCTAGGCGGTGGGGGACTCGGCGGGCCTTCGCTCATTCGGACATCCGCCTGGGAATTCGACTGCGCCGGAGCGCTCGAGAACACCAACGAGGAGGGGAGTGAATTCGCTGCGCCAACGTGCTCGGTGTTGTTGCTCAGCATACGTTTCCGGCCCTTTCCCGCGCTGCCATTCGTACTCCCGCAGCTTCCGGGTGTAGGTACGCCGCCAGCAGTGATCGATCGTTCCAACGCGTCCCTCACACTCCCGTTCTGGAGCAACACGTCCCCGTCTGCCTCTTCCTCCCTCCTGAGCCTGACCCAGCTCTCGCCCCTATCCAGGCCCGGGCGTAACTCTGCTTCTGGCACACTGGGTTCTCCAGAATGATACTTTGCCCTGACGCCGGGGAGGAAGTACGCTTGGGTCTGAGTGGGAAGGGGCGCGTGCAGGAGGGGATAAGAGGGTGGGGAGGCGCCTGGACTACGCGTGGAAGGGGAGAGGGAGAGATTGGGGTACAGCGTGCTGGGGGCTGGGGGTAGTGGGAGGGGGATAGGAGGGTACACGGTCGTCTGTGTGGTGGTCGTGGTGACGCTGCAAAGGGTAAACCTGGGTAGATATATGCGCGTTATGACACGTACACTGTCGTGGTTGTGGAAGGGAGAAGGGTGAGTGTCGGCACCTGGTGGTGGTGAGTGTCGGTGTCCATCTCGTTGCCAATAAGATAAAGATAGCTAGCAAAGTGGAGATGGTGGTACAAAGCAAAGGGGCAGGATGTCGTTGACGGCGCTCTGGCCGACGAGGACGAGGGAGAGGGCGACGAGGAGGAGAAGAGAAGAGAGAGGCGTCTGTGTATTGGGGTCCCATTCAACACTTTCGGTGGCAATCACTCACGTGATCAAACACTTTTTATTAACAACACCAACGAATGAACAATGACTACGTCCTTTGTCTATATATATTGAGGCAACAAAAGCTATACTTCTTGTATGAATGATACAAATATGCCACTGCTATGATTTGACCACCGTTGATTCCTGACAATTTTGATACGAGCTGGCAACAACTTCCTATTCAGCCTCTCAAGCCACTCTCTAGATTCTTGTTACCCCACACCTGAACAGCAAGCCATGTCTTCTCTCGCATAGAAATAACCGGTAAATGCAAGCCATGCTGACCTGCACCTTGTTCTTGTGGATGACTCCTTCCATTCCGCCAGCGTGTCAACTGCATTCCTGGTGCCATCCGTCGCTCCCTCCTTGTCACCCATTTCCTGCCATTGGTACAACAGCACCGGGACTGTCTAAGGGAACGAAAGAGTGCCAACTCCACAGGTAAAGACAGTAACAGACTGGTAATTCCCTATCATACGTACTCGTATTCGCTCACTTCGTCCTCCTCTCTGTGAAGACACCCATAGTGCAGCGCACGGGTTAGGCGAGCGGAAGAGCCACCCCCTCCGTTGCTCTCTTCGATTGTCTGAAAGACATTGGATAGGAAATAGAAGAGAGTATGCACGAACTGTGGTCGCTCTTGGTGACTGCTCCGGCGTGTCGGGTAACTCACTCAATCCAAGCACAGCAACCAATGCACAGTGTCAAATAATACTCTTTCTTAATATGTCTGCATTTTATAATGTGAAATGGTACGAATATACTAAGTAAGAATAATTAACAAATGAAGTTACGTGATCAGTCCAAATCCAAAACGCATCCCATATCCGGCGCTTAAGTAAAACGAGGAGTAACGCTGCTCTTGCTCTCTTCTCTCCTTTTCACACTACTTCCACTATACCCTGGACATATGATGCCCACACTTTCGTCTCCTCAACTCTCGCTCTCACAAGCACATCCATCACACTGGAATTACCTGGCCGAAGGCTCATCCTCTCTCGTATGCACCTACGCCGGCCCATCCAAAGTCTTCACACGCAGGGTCCTACGTCTGCGAAAGACCGCCGTCTGCCGCCAACCCTCGACCGACAGCGTACTCGCTAGCGACGACACTGGTTCGGGGGAAAGCACAGTCCGCGCATGGCAGGAAGAGGTCATCGCCCGCCTACTCCCTCGAGACGCGCTCCCGCAACTTGATCTCGTCACTGTCGACCCGGACTCCCTACGAGCCCTCGAGGCCGCCCTATCTAACCAATCAAGGCATAGAAGGCCTAATGACCGGCTCGATCTAGTTGCGCGAAGTGCCGTCTTGGCCCAGGACGTTGTTAGCGGGGAAAGCATTGCTGTTGAGATCAAGGTGCGCTGGTTCTTTCTTGCAGATGCGGAGAACGAGCTGAAACTGCACAGCCAAAATGTGGTTTCCTCCCTTCTCCTGTCCATCTATCACCCTCTACTGCAAGAATCAAATTACACCACTGCAGGTACTGCATGCACTCCCTCGTCCGCCTCTCCTTTCCCGCGTCCTTCCCCTCCCCGGCCCTACCCTTGCCGACGACGACACGAGAACATTACTGCCCTCTAGACTTCTACTCGGGCGACGAACACCGCGTGAGAAGAGCACTGGAACAGCTCTGGGAACTCTGGCTCCGCACCCAGGGGAAGGGTAACAACTTCCGGGTATTCGTACGAGGGGAGAGGGTAGATCCAGCAGATGTCGCTAGCTTAGTTGAGGCGCTCGACGACCTAGCACCAGCGAAAAATGCGCTTATTCAACGTCTATTGCCTCTCTTGCTAAAGAGTCCGATCCTGGGCTTGCTCAAGCAGCTACAGCGCACGCTCGACCCCCTCGACATTGACGGCCTCTCCGCACTGCATCAATCGATGTATCCCGACCTCCCGCTGGGATACGGACAGACTCAACCAGAGATAGACGAATGGAAGACGCTTGTCGAGTCGTGGCTTGCTCACCAGATGCCTGAGGAACCGGAGAAGAAGCTTAGGTACTATGTGCTTGCTTACACGCTCTCGGCGACTTTCAAGGATTGCTCGCTTATCGTTCACCTCCCGATTGCGGCTGCTGGACAGTGGGAACGCCGTAGAGAGGGAGGGGGGATCCAAAGAGGTGTGGAAGGCAAAGTTTGGGTTGTAGATACTGATGTGAAGAAAGTCAGTAAGTTGGGTAAATGGGCAGAGTTGGACAGGGAGATTGTCAGTGTATTTTCTAGACTAGATGTTACAGATAGATGTGTTGAATAACTTGATTGCTGTTGTAATGGAATGAGAGATAATAAATAAGCGCCCGGTGATGTCATCAGCTTACTACATCCCCTCATCGTAATCCCTCACTCCTCTAACGACGTGGACAACGACAACAAGGATGTCCTCCCAACCCAGGCCATTACCCCAGGCGCTCATATTTGACCTCGTGGGAACCTGTACAGACTGGCATACTCCCATCCTCGACCTACTGCGTTCGCAGCCCCTTCCCACTCCTCTCCAGTCGGCCGACCTCCCCCAGCTGGCAGCAGACTGGCGTGCAGGGTTCTTTCGCGAGATCCTGGCCAGCTTTGAGGGGGGAGAGCAAGCAGAGGGTGTGGATATAGTTCATCGGCGGGTGCTGGACCGGCTCTTGCAAGAGCAAGGCGTCGGATCGGGGGATGATGGAATGGGCTGGGGAGAGGATGTGAGGCAGAAGCTGGTAATTGGCTGGCATGAGCAAGCCCGTGTGCCCTCTTCTCTTGTGTCTTGTTGATCAACTTCTGAGGTGCAGTAGCATGGCCCGACAGTATCGAAGGCCTCCAAAAGCTGAAGAAGAAGTTCATGGTGTGCGTCTTGCCTGTCATTTTGGTGCTACGTTTATATAGGATCAGAGTTGTGCTTGCCAACGGAACAACGCGATTGCAGCTGGATGTCGTCCGGTCCTCGGGACTTGCGTTTCATGCTCTATTCTCCTCCCAACTTCTGGGATATATTAAGGTGCTCATCCTCCCTTTGGGCAGGAGGATACATGGCTCACCATATGTCAGCCAAGCCCAGATATCTATCTCAAGGCACTGGACTTGCTCGCTATCGCCCCAGAGCAAGCGCTGATGGTAGCTGCTCACGCGTATGACCTACGCGCAGCTGCCCGGGTGTAAGTCCATACGTCCGTGTGTCGTTTTATACGTATACGATTGACCAGCAACCAGGGGCATCAGGACTGCGTATATCCAGCGAGCAACTGAGGATCCACAGGAAGATATGGATAAAGTCCGGGGCGAGGTCGACCTGTTCTTTGATGGGATTGCACAAGGACAAGGTCTCTTGGCACTTGCACAGTATTTACGTGCATAGACGAGGTAGCGTCAGCTCCATGTTCGGATATGTACTTGACAGGGGGTTGACAGGTATGATAACTGTTATATATTTTATTAGTCTCACTAATACTGCTCCTATTGCTATTAATTTTCCTATTAGTCTTATAAGTTTTTGCAGAGTTAAGGTTCTATTTCCTCGCTGGTCGTGGACAGTAAGCAATTATACTTTCATTGGTGTTTTGAAGATTGACACGATCAACCAGTCTTCCTCCGAACTCCTTTACACTTAACCAATTTGACTTGTCGGGTGCTGGCCACTGTATGATGTATTAACCCACGTCTTCGTGACTTATTCACTCACGCCCCAAAACAGTACCGAATATACACCAACTCTTGATTTCTTTCCTTCCACCACTAGAACAGGATCACCATTCCACCCGCTCGCACATTCCAAGAATGTGTTTCTTTACGAACCTGGCATTTCTTTTCGTTATTGCGTTGGCTGTCTTTGCCGCCCCGATGCACCCCAATGCACGTGTCTGAACAGGAGCCGTCTCCGCTGTCGTGAAGTCGGTCCCCAAAGGTGCAAACTGGGCAGTCCAGGAAACAAAAGCAGCTTTCCGAAGCGTTGCAGGAGGTATAGAAAACGTCATTATGCCCAACGTCCCGGCATCAAGCCACTCTCAAATGTTCAGGACCACCTTGATCAAACACGATTGCATATGTTACCCGTCCATCCTACCAGTCAATGATGATGCCTTCGCGGCACTCGCTCAACTTAGAGCTGAGCCCATTGCTGAGTACCAGCCATTCTCGACATCATAGAACGTATCAGGGATAAACACACTCATCTTACGCCAATCCTCTTCTGCGCTCATCTGGAATCTGAACTGTGCTTGCCAACGGACGACGCGATTGCATTGTCAGCCGAACGCGGAATTGTACCTCAGGGCACTCAGGCACTGAACACGACACCTGCGCCGCGGTCGTCTCCTCGGACCGTACAATACATTCCAACGTCGTGCACAAGTAGAACGGTGTGTGCGTCTTCCCTCCAGCTCGGTCGAACTAGCGGGGTGAACCATATGGTGCGTGTTCAACCTAGCCGCAGGCGTGGAGGCTGAGATGCGTAGACAGCACACGCGCTCACGGTCACACTTACCGAGCCTGTGCAGCAAGCTCGTCAAGACACAATTGATGCCCAGCAAATGGGACAGGATGCCTTGGAGCACAGCCGCCGGGAGCATGAGGCAGCTCTGGAGAAGCTCAGGGAGGAACATTCGCAAGCGCTTGCCCAGCTGCAGGAGATGCAAGCGACGGAACTGGAGACTGTTCGCGCCGCACATGACTTGCTTTCTGAACAGGTCCGAGAACTTGGTTGTCAAATTTCTCAGGCGGAGACGGAGAAGCAAGAGCTGCTCAACACTCACGAAGAAGATTTGCAAACCAAGCAGTCTGTTATCACGAAGTTGTATTCCGAGCTATCAGTGCTTCGTAACGAAGCCGATGCGGCCAAATCTCGAGTAGAGAAGCTCGAGGGTGACATGAGACGTGCTGCTGAAGAACAAGGGCGTCTCGTCAAGGAGGCAGGGAAGCGAGATTCACTTGTGCAAGAGCTGGAGCGTCATCGTGCGGCGCTTGCCGAAACGCACGAGCTGTT